TGCAGAGACAGCTGGGTTCCTCCCCCCCCCCAACCATACAGCAAAAAAGCCACAGCCAGTGAGGGTTTCTCCACATGCACATTCCCACTCTCTCACCTCTCTCACCTAGAGCTCTCTTCTCTATACTTCATGTTCTTTTGCTATCCCCCCCCCCCGGTTTTCTCTAACAAAGCTGAATTAATTTCACCCCATAGCCCATTTTAAAAGCCAGGCCTGATTTATGCAAACTCATGGTAAATGGTAGTTCTATAAGCTTTTCTAGAATATTGTTTCTTCACGGGTGTCCCCAGAATTAGGAAACAGAATATACAGACCAGAATAATGCATTGCCCCAGGCCAATGTTTCTCAACTTTAAGAGGTGTGGACTTCTGACTCTCAGAATTACTCACCCAGCATGCATTACTGTATTGATGATGTCTGCCCCTGTGATTTCTAAACTATAAGGCTTAGTCTCAGGTGTGAACCCAAATAAATATTTGAGTACAAAGGGAAAGCTCTTCAGGAAAGAGGACGACAAGGCAAAATCTGGTACTGGTTGCAGAATCTAACTTACGATTTGTAATATAATAACAAGCAGATATGGTGGAAGCAACTAAAGCTAGAGCAGCTGCTGATCCTACATTCTTCAATGTTATTTTATTTTCTCTCCATTTAACTTTGCTCCAAGCTTTTTCTGCTCCATCTCTGTCAGATAGACTAGCTTTTCCAAGCTGGGATGGGTGATAAAACCGGAGGCTAATAAGTAGGGACCAGCCAACATTCACACTGCAAGCTTCATGGTTGAGTGAAAATTTTAACCCAGCCAGCTGTAGTCAGTGTGCCCAAATAGGCCTAGCTATACTTTGCAGATTTCTAGAAGCAGGTTTGGATCTAGTTACAGTATGGATCAAAACCCGCTAGGAAGTAGGTTAGACTGAGAAGTTTAACAAAAATTAAATTGCGTGCTCAATACTATCCCTGTCATCCTTGCCTTTGTGAGACTCAGGTACATCCAAAGCACCTAAGAATACCCTGTATGCAACAATAAAAATGTACAAACGCATCAATGTATTTGGAAATAATGGTGGAGCTAGTTCTGCACAATGTAGTATATTGGGGAGCAATTGAGGGCAACATGTCCTGTCCCCCAGTTTAAAGTGCAAATATCAGAAGGTGGGCAGTCATTTGAAAATTGATGCAGAAAATCTGACAAGGATTTTTTGTCAATGACAAGAAATGCAATTAAATAAATAGCCAGTCATTTGCAATATCCTTGTAATAGGCTTGATTTGAATCCAAACTGTGTAGATTTTTCATAGTGTCATAAATGCTCTTTTCTCCTTGAAGTCATTTCTAATAAAAATGATGTGTATGTGTTAATAATGTAACTATACAGTTTTTGCTGCAGCACCGAAGCTGGTCCTTACCTGAAGACTTGAAATCTCCATCATAGCAAAAATCTCTTCCAAATTTTATTTCCATTGATCTTATTGTCACTGTTTCTGTTCACAGGGAGAACTGCAAAATGTCCCTGGTCTCCTTTTCCAGTAAAAAATAAAACTCTTCCAGTTACCAGCCAACACAACACCTTTCCTTCCTTGTTTTCAGAACCAAAGATTTAGAGGAATTGTATTATACAATAGTCCTTGCACAGACAACTATCAAGTTTATACTGATACAAGAATAATGTGATACATCAGCAAATACTTAGTGTAAATAGTTTCTCCCATCCCCATCTTCCTGTAGTTCTGAGAAACTTGCTTAGAGAATATAGTTCATCTTTGAAATCTAGGACAAGTTAAACCCCAAACTTACTCAACAATCCTAGTTATTTTGCCAAAGTTTTACAGCAGATTCCTCTCCCATCTTCTCAATTCTTTTTGCACCACACACATTATTGACCTCTATTCAAATTCAGGTGGACTGTCCATTGCTCCTCCCACCATGATCTGCTTTCTCAACTGTTCTACCACCTTGGGCACTTCTTCTGCTCTTGGTTTCAATTCTTTCTCCCAGTGGCATATGGGTTGATTTATATTAAGAGACACAGTAGGGCCTTGCTGCCTATTCTGCTTTCCTGGAAATGAAGGTACAAGCAAGGATAATAAGAAATGAGAGAGATCTATCTACCTACCTACTATCACCACCAACTCCAATAGAAACTGGATGGCAAAAAGGATCAGAAAATTCATAAATGAATGTGTGTGTGTGTGTGTGTGTGTGTGTGTGTGTGTGTATGTATGTATGTATGTATGTATGTATGTATGTATGTATGTATGTATGTATGTGTCAAATACCGCTCACTCATCATAAAATCTTCAGAACTGTAATGCCTACAAACTTGAAATTTGGCACATCTGCTCCTCTTGGCTTCTAGATGCTTGCTAAGAAAGGATTTTTTTGAAATCACCATCAGATCATTAGTATTTCTTATACAGTAATTAACACGCTCTGATGCTAAGGAGTTACGTAGGCGTTCTACTCCCCCTCCCCACCTGAAAAGAACTCTGTTCCAACTGCCAGTTGCCTCACATTCCGTTACCTCAGTTCAAACTGGCAGACGTTTCACTCCTTCACTCAGGAGCGGTCTGGGGCTCCTTACAGTACTCAATGTCAGTACCTCACCAAAATGTCTATGCCTTCCACCTATGGTTCTGCTTCCACACTCAAGGTGGTGGGAGTGATATTCCCTTATGTGTTTCAATTACCAACCACCACTGAGCCAACAGTTTGTGAACCAAATTTCTCCTGTATAGCCTGATTGCATAGGTTCATCACGGAGCATGTGTATCCAGCTAGTAAAATATAAAATCACACAATAGTAAATACTAAAATAATCTTAAAGGCAACGCAGATGAAAACATAGCACTCCCGCCACTCCTCCCATACAGTAAAGCATTAAGCTCAGCCCTGGGACTAAACCAAAGCCAGGTTTTAAAAGCTTCCCGGAACCCAAGGGAGAGGGCATTTTTCAGGTGGAAGGGTGGTACTGTGACTGAAAAGGCCAACTTCCTTAATCCTGTAACATGTTTATTAGAGTGGACCTGAAGCACAACCAGAAGCAGAAACAATTAGACACTTATGTCAGGAAAACTGGTTTATCTCATCATTGTAAAACTAATTCCTTTTTTCTTTTTTCAGGTTGCTAAATTGATCTAGCCAGTTCCTTCCCCCCTCTCCATTTCCTAGCCATTTCTTTCAGCCTTGCTCTGTTGTCGGCTCAAGCCTTGTTTCTATTGTTGAAAGAAATGTCCTTCTGGGTTCAACTCCAAGTGGGGAAGAAGACACTGGAGACATGGAGGCTGCTTGGAAAGATGGTTTATTGTTGTTGGACAGGGATAGG